AAATAGAAGTAAGTCTTGTTTATTAACCATCCTGAAAGCATTCCTCCATAGTTAGGGCACTCAAACCAACTCTCATGCGAGTTTCTGGTGAGATTAATAACATACGACAAATTTTTAGTGTTAATAATAGTAATCGATGATCGGGTTAAAAATGATTAAGACATCCGGATTCTGTAATCTTCATACTTCTGTTTATTCGTTGAAATTTATAATATTTCATCAATTTTTTGTAATAAAATAAAAAAAATGCGAGGTTGACATTTACAAAACATTATTCATGTGTTAATTAATCCTTCTTTCAATAATTGAAAATCACCATCAAGAAATTGAATTTGGGATTATGTGTGGACTGATTTTGATTCATAATTTCCCTTTCGCAATATCGAAAATTAATCAAGAAATCTAGACGGTAAATTAATTCTATTGGTTGATGATCATCATGATGAAAATCAGTGGGTCCCTATTATAGCAAGGTTTTAAAACTCGGCCTAACTCAGTCGGTTGAACCAATTGAATTGGGAGTCGGGGGCTTTATTGGGTCATGTTACAAAATTCAACTATTCCCGAAATGGCTAACCTTATCGCTAGCGAATGAGAGGCTACCATGTGCCGAGTTTAGAGGGCTTTTGCAGAGTGGAGGTCGATGGTTTAAGGGGTGGTGTTAGAGAGAATTTTTGACGTCAGAATCAGCCGAAATTTTGTTGGAAAAACCAACCCAATCACAGCGATATATGCAAGTCACGACCGGCGAACTGGGGGTTACCAAGTGTCGGGGTTAGAGGAGTTTTGTAGGGTGCTAGTGGTTCAGGTGGTGGTGTCGGATTGAATTTTGGCTGCGAGAATTAGCTACCAAAATCAAAGCCCTAACTATCACAAGGGTGTTTTTACTAGATTTCAGACTTGTAGGAACTGATTGTAAATTTTATGGGTATTTGCAAGATTTCAAATTTTTTGGATCACTGGGAGACCACCGGTTTAATCAGACCAGTTAAACTTGGGACCCGACCCCTTGGCCAAGTGACAACCCAAGTCGGGTTTCAAGGTTTTATAGAAGTAATTCTTTTAGTAAATAACCCATTTTCAGAATTAAAGAAAAGCTAATAACCCATCACAGAAGGCATAGATAAATAGAAGTAAGTCTTGTTTATTAACCATCTTGAAAGCATTCCTCCATAGTTAGGGCACTCAAACCAACTCTCATACGAGTTTCTGGTGAGATTAATAACATACGACAAATTTTTAGTGTTAATAATAGTAATTGATGATCGGGTTAAAAATGATTAAGACATTCGGATTCTGTAATCTTCGTACTTCTGTTTATTCGTTGAAATTTATAGTATTTCATCAATTTTTTTTGTAATAAAATAAAAAAAAAATGTGGGGTTGACATTTACAAAACATTATTCATGTGTTAATTAATCCTTCTTTCAATAATTGAAAATCACCATCAATAAATTGAATTTGGGATTATGTGTGGACTGATTTTGATTCATAATTTCACTTTCGCAGCCTCCGAAATAAATCAAGAAATCTGGACGGTAAATCAATTCTATTGGTTGATGATCATCATGATGAAAATCAGTGGGTCCCTACATCATCAATTGTGGGCTCATCCTAGGCCGGTTGGTCGTCGTACAATAGATTTAGTGGACCTTCCCATATTTTGCACTGAATGATTAATGACTATTAGCCACATAATTTTTTTATTTTTTTATTATTTTTTTAAATTTAAAAGAAAGAAAAAGATTGGTATTGTTTGGCTTTCCATCAACCATCCTTGTCTTCAATAATCAAAAAATAGACCTCAAATTCAAAAACATGTGTTCACGCTTAGATTTTCATGTACCTAATGAACTGTATGCCCACGAGAAGTATCTGGGAGAAAAGACACCACAAAAAACATGGAGTGAAAAAAAGTCCGATATCTCTCACCCGAAGGCTTTTGAGAGCATCATTTATCTGTACGAAAGACGGTTTTTTTCAACTAAATGAAATTAGTTCTCATTTGATAGATTTAATATGAATATGATTGAATAAGATAATCTTATGCTCCAAGATATGACCCAGATGTGAATATAATTAATGGATTACAAAAGGTTACATATTGGACCAACAATAGAAATTTGTCAAAATATATGAAAAGTATGAATAATGATCCTTGTTTTCTTGGTCAAAATTCAATCAAACTATTGGGTAATAGTCAATAGCTAACTATGACACTCAATATGAATTGAAAATAAATGTATAAGACAATTCTATGGTTGGAATTAAGGAAATCTCTTGGCAAGATTAAGCACGATAATTCGTTGAGCTCATTAGTGAAAGCAATATTCAACAGTGTTGTGTTCCCATTTCACTCTCAACTTAATTTACAATTTAATTCTTGACCAAACTTTATTTTTCTATTTATTTTTTATTCAAAAGGTTTTCCCAGTTTTGACCAAACTTTAGCATTTGCAACCCTAAGACAATCAAGGTTACCTTGTTTAGAGAGAGTCAATGAACTATATATTTGTAAAACATTTTCTTCCCATGCAATAATTGACTTTTTCAATAAAACCTAAGACAGTCAAGATAAATTAGATGAGAGGTAAGTTTCATCTCCAAAGTTTGGCACAGAAACACTTTCGCCTCTCCCTAATTTTAGAAACTAGCGTTATCACCCTTAAACGGTGTTTCTGTTAGTTAAATGTAACGGTTCAAGAGATAAAAAAAGATAATTTTAACAAGCTATTGACATTTTCGACCGAATGGTTAAACGTTTTCGTGAAACGTTTTTGACTGAATGGTTAGACGTTTAACTAAAACCCTAATAACTTTGGTATTTATTTAATTAGTTGTCACCTAATTGGATAAGCTAGGAGCCTGATCTTTATGACCATGAGAAATCAGTTTAATGGCTGCGCTTGACTGTTAAAAAACTACTTCCAAAATCCATTGAAACATTACAAAGACGATGATAAAGTTTTCTTTAGGGAAGCATAGCAGGAAAGTCGATCTCCATGCTGCAATATGCCAAACTGGGGCGCGTGAGCAGTGAGCTAAGCAGAGACCATTCTTTGTTGTCTAGCTATTGCATAATATAAGCAGAAAGAGAATTGAATTACAGCACGCCATAAACACAGAATTAAAGTACAGAAGGAAATAATTAACCTTTGCCCCTCCACTTTGCTTTTATTGGCAAGTACGTCCAAACCCATCTCTCTTTGCTGGAAAACGTTTCTGTGAAAGAGAGTAAATAAATTAGGCAAGCTCTTAGATTTCTTGGTGATTTGATGGCAACAACTTAAATATATTTATGTCTGTTTATAAATGAAAACGATCTTCACCAAATATTAATTGTAATTCACGTGGTTGCGATTTGATTACTAATGAAGCAAGTATAGTACTTGATTTTAAGAAATAAGGTGGTATATTTTTTATATTTTTTTTTTTTCAAATCGTTTATATATTGTTTATCTATCGAGATATTTAATGAGTTAACTTTTCGTTTATATCCATTTATCTATTCATTTGGTATCACATCTACGTATTCTATTAATAATACGGATCTGAAATATAATACATTGATCGATTAAAGAGAGATTTAACAACTAAAAGAAAGATCGATACTTTACGATTTTTCTCTTTGGATATTATTCAATGTCCCAGTTATTCACAGAATGTAAAAAGCAGATTAATAAGAATATGCTTTCGAAAGAAATCCAAGATTTTCTCGAAAATCTTACAAGATCCATTCGTGCTTTTTCCTTTGAGAACTTGTTAGAACTTCATCTGTTATAATCCAACCAATAAGGAAAAATAAAATCTCTGCAGTTCTTCAAATCAAATCAAATATCAAATCAAAATAGTAAGAGGAATTTTGTAGAGTCAGCTAGTGTCGTCAAAAATGGTTCAACTTGTAGAAAGTGACAAGCTTCAAAGTGGTGAGTTTATTTTGGGTGGGTGGCCATTATATGCTGCATTTAAGAAGCAAAGGGGGACACACACCAAAATCTGTTTGCAAAGTTATTGATTCATTTTCTTTATTTAGATCAATTATGCTATGGCATTACTTTTGGGGTTAAAAAATTAAACCACTTTTCTTCCTTGTTGCCTAATTCTATTAAACGTTACAATTACTTGACATGTATCAGCAATACTATTATGATACCATAGACTTTCTCGTTTTGTTATATTGACTTATGATCAATGTATCAACAATACCACCGTAATATCATAAACTTGTGATACCATGTCAACAATATTACAATGATACTGTTTATGTTAAGATCTCACATCGGGATCATACATCCCATCAAATATGGTTTTAAGCTTAAGAATTCTTCTATCTATCAGATCGATCTTTTAAGTTGATCAATCCCTTGAATTTGAATTTTAATAGTATACTTTCTATAGTTTTGATACATCGACTTGTGATATTATACCAACTGCAGTACTATAAATTGATATTGGATCAACAGTAACACTGCAGTAATATAAACTTATAGCAAAACTCTTAGTTGTAGTTTCCATCTAATAATTTAAAGTCTTCAATCCTGTACTTACCGTCATTTTAAATTCTCTTCCCATAAATTACGGTAAACTGGCTTTTTATAGGGTGAAAGAGTTTCGAAAGTAAACTTGGCGCACGGAATGAGCCTTGGTTCCTTTTGAGCCAAACTGAGTCGTCGGGCAAATGAGGCACTTGCCACTTGATGTTTTAAGAAAACAGAAAAGTAAAAACAATGAAAACAAAAACAAAAAACACATAAAACTAAAGCGATTGTCCACAGCATGATTTGAAAAACGTGTGGACGGTGAGGTTCATGCTACTGCTTCACATTTATATAAATACCGGTACACATACAGCTTCACCAGACAAAAAACAAGGAAGAGCTCTGTAGCTTTAATTTCTCTTCTCCTGACGAGCACAAAAAATAAACCAACAACCCACCAGCTTTATTCAGTGTTAAAGAGAAGACAAATATTTTAAATAATCATCTTCTTCTTCTTCTTCTTCTTCTTCTTCATGGCACTGACAAAAGAGTTCATGGGTTGTTCTTTACTTGAGAGATCGTTATATTTATCTTCTTCTTCAAGCGATTTTCAGAGGAAGTTGCAGAAGAACTTGTCGATTAACCCGGCATTTTTTGTTCCTGTGCAACCGAGAAGGTCAGTGCATTTGAAGAAAACTAGGACTTTTACTACTCCTGTGGCAGCAATAAGTGAAGATTTGATTAAGGCTTCTGTGTCTGCAACTCAAAAAGCTGTTAAATTTAAGGTTAGAGCGGTTTTGACTGTGAGAAAAAACATCAACGAAGACTTGAAAGAACAACTGGTTAACCATTTAGATGCTTTAACTGATAAGATTGGGAGAAATGTTGTGTTAACACTTCTCAGTACTGAGCTTGATCCCAGTAAGTTCTTTTCTCTTCTCTCTATCAGGTTTTTTACTGATGAATATTTATAATTTATTGTACTAAATTGGGTGTTTTTTTCTTGTTTTTTGTGATTGTAGAAACAAAGGGTCCAAAGAGAAGTAGAGAAGCCGTGTTGAAAGATTGGTCTAAGAAATCAAATATTAAAGCTGAGAGAGTTCATTACACAGCTGACTTTACTTTAGATTCTGATTTTGGGATGCCTGGTGCAATCACAGTTACCAATAAGCACCAAAAGGAGTTCTTCTTGGAGACGATAACCATTGAAGGTTTTGCTTGTGGCCCTGTTCATTTTCATTGCAATTCATGGGTTCAATCCAACAAAGATCATCCTGGAAAAAGGATTTTCTTCACTAATCAGGTATTCTTCAAGACTTAAAATTTTCCTTCTTTCTTTTTTACTGTAGTGGGTTGTTGTCAATGATTATGACTTCTTGCAAAACGCCAGAGCACTGCCAGTTAGATTTCTTCTATTGGGTTAAGTAAAAGTCAAAACCTAATGTTTTAGCTTTTGAATTTTGTCCCAGACAAAATCTTTGAATCATTCAGAGTATGCAGCTATAGAAAACTAAACTGATATTCAATGTTGTGCAATTAAAAATCAAAATTAATTAGGTTCATTCTATAAGGACTGCGCATTAACAGAAAGAAGAAGAAAATCAAAGATTGATTCTGCATTAGTGATATTAATTTGCTTATAATTAGATGGGCCATCACTTCAGAGGTGGACCATGAATTCAACATTCATTTTGTTTGTTTTTGTGTATGAGTCATGACAAGCCCTTCATATATGGATTTGACAACCACATCAAATTCTCCAATTTATTTTGTATTTTTTCTTTATTTTAAGAGCATCAATGGGAACTTAATTTGTTTTATCATACCTTAATTTTGTGCAGCCATATCTACCAAGTGAGACCCCTGAAGGGCTTAGAGTGTTGAGAGAAAAAGAGCTTAAAGATCTTAGAGGTGATGGCAAAGGAGTCAGGAAATTATCAGACAGGATTTATGACTTTGATGTGTACAATGATCTGGGAAACCCAGATAAATGCAGTGATTTAGTTAGACCAACTCTTGGAGGTGAACAAAGGCCTTACCCTAGACGGTGTCGCACCGGTCGAGTTCCAACTGACACTGGTAAGTTTCTTGATTATTGAAATTGTATGATCACTCAACCAACTCCTAAAAAAAGTTGAGGGGTATTTGAAAATTTCAAAAAATACATGATATATAATACTTAAACTTATATGCTTTTCAAATTGGTAAATGTGTCATTCCTAAACTCTATGGCAAAGGAAATGAAAAGTTGTTGATTCCTTTCTTTAACAAAATGGGCAAAAGTGGTACATCTGTTATGATCTTATTGAAAGAAAACGTAGAGCAAATAAGTGACCAAATTAATCCGATATTAATTTCCTCCATATATGACTGCAGATATGCATGCAGAGAGCCGAATTGAGAAGCCATTACCCATGTATGTGCCAAGGGATGAACAATTTGAGGAGTCTAAGCAAGACACATTTTCTACTGGGAGGCTTAAAGCTGTGCTTCACAACTTAATCCCCTCATTAAAAGCCAGCCTTTCTGCTGCAAATCACGACTTCAATGCATTTTCAGACATTGACAGCCTCTACAGTGAAGGGCTTCTCCTCAACTTAGGATTACAAGATGGACTCCTCAAGAAACTCCCCTTTCCGAAGGTTGTTAGCAGAATTCAAGAATCTAGCCAAGGTCTCCTCAGATATGACATTCCCAAAATTCTTTCCCGTAAGCATTCGTAACTCGAAAATTCTCTGCAAATTAAATCTAGAATTCTCTATGGTAAAATTATTCTAGTCAATGATCCAACTCATATCATACATTTTTATGTTGCACATGATATTATTTTTGTGAAGGGCAATAAGGTTGTCAGTGTTTAGGCAATAAATTTAGTGAGTGCATGCCCCATGTTCTAGTGGGGACCAAGTCACAGTGAGAAAGTTACATTAACTGATTTTAGAGGAATATATATTAAGATTTTTAATTTGCCAGTAGTGGCTTGTAAAGAAGAAGATATTGATTCTAGCAAATGACCCACCTGCATATCCTTTGTCTTCTTTCCTTGGCTCTTTATCAGCAAATTAACCAGGCAAATTCCAATGCCATCAATTGCTTTCTTTTTTCTGTAAAGTGCTTTATCATCATGTGCATATTTAACATGTGGGTATTTCTTAATGGTGCTTTGTTTCTTTTTCATTTTTTTATGAGTTCTTTTCGGTAATGGGTTTGAGTCAATTGGTTATTATTTAAATGAAAAGCCATGCTTCTTTGCTAAACCATCATGTGATTCACGATTGTAGGGGACAAATTTGCCTGGCTACGAGATGACGAATTTGCCCGTCAAGCTATAGCTGGTGTCAACCCAGTCACCATTGAGAGGCTTCAGGTTTTTCCTCCAGTAAGCAAACTTGATCCCGAAATCTACGGTCCACAACAATCTGCTTTGAAAGAAGAACACATTATTGGCCAAATTAATGGCATGACTGTTCAACAGGTAATTTCAGTTTCTAATAATCTTAGATGAGGCAGATGTACCACATTATTTACGGAGGACAGGGATTAATTGTTCTATTTTTGTAAATTTTTTCAGGCCCTGGAAGAAAACAAGTTGTATATAGTGGATTACCATGACATTTACCTTCCATTTTTGGATAAAATAAATTCACTTGATGGTAGAAAAGCATATGCAACAAGAACCTTATTTTTCTTGACCCCTCTTGGGACTTTGAAGCCTATTGCTATTGAGCTTAGCCTCCCACCATCCGGACCAAGTTTGCGATCAAAGCGTGTGGTTACACCTCCTGTTGATGCCACCAGCAATTGGGTTTGGCAGCTTGCCAAGGCCCATGTGTGCTCCAATGATGCTGGGGTGCACCAACTTGCTAACCATTGGTAAGCAAAATTATTCTTACACTTATTTGTAACACAAATTCTCTCGACATATATAAAATAAATTTAAATTGACTAAATTATTAAAACATTGCTGTGATTACAGGTTACGGACACATGCATGCGTGGAGCCATTTATACTTGCGGCACACAGGCAATTGAGTGCAATGCACCCAATTTACAAGCTTTTGGATCCGCACATGAGATACACATTAGAGATCAATGCCCAAGCTAGGCAAAACCTCATCAATGCTGATGGTGTGATTGAATCTTGCTTCACTCCTGGCCGCTACTGCATGGAGATTAGTGCCGCCGCATATAAAAACGGCTGGCGGTTTGACATGGAAAACCTCCCAGCCGATCTCATCCGCAGGTACATATTAATCTGCGATCTTACAGTAGTTTTTAGCATTGAATACGAAAACGTTTCTAAAAACATTTTAACTCATTTCAAACAAACCAGTTTTAAATTCTATATAAAACATGTCCTGTTTGTGCAACATTGGCAATAACGCAAGAAGGCAATGCAGCCACATGTTCTTTCATTGACATGTTCATACGTTTAGCTGGATTGAATTATAAAATCTTTGAGTGAATCTAATTGATCTGTCTTGATGTTTTTAGGGGCATGGCTGTACCTGACCCAACTCAACCACATGGTCTAAAGCTTTTAATAGAGGACTACCCATATGCAAGTGATGGGCTATTAATTTGGTCAGCAATTGAGGAGTGGGTGCGCACCTATGTCAACCATTACTAACCAAATTCAAGCCTAATTTGTAATGACAAAGAGTTACAATCATGGTACTCTGAATCCGTCAAAGTGGGTCATGCTGATCTTGCCCAAGAAAGTTGGTGGCCCACACTAACTAACGGTGATGATCTAGTCTCCGTTCTCACCACCATCATCTGGCTTGCATCCGCACAACATGCTGCACTCAATTTTGGTCAGTACCCATACGGTGGTTATGTGCCTAATCGCCCACCATTAATGAGAAGATTAATCCCAGATGAAAATGAACCTGAGTATGCTGTATTTTTAGCTGACCCACAAAAGTACTTCCTGGCAGCATTGCCAAGTTTGTTACAAGCCACAAAATATATGGCTGTGGTAGACACATTGTCTACACATTCACCTGATGAAGAGTACTTAGGAGAGAGACAACAACCGTCGATTTGGACCAGCGACGCCGATATAACCGAGGCATTCTTCGAGTTCTCGGCAGAGATCAGCCGGATAGAGAAGGAGATAGAAAAAAGGAACGCTGATCCTAGCCTTCGGAACCGGTGTGGTGCCGGAGTGTTACCATATGAGCTACTTGCACCAAGTTCTGAGCCTGGAGTAACATGTAGAGGAGTTCCAAATAGTGTATCAATTTGAACACAAATGGGGTTCAAATGGTCATGTTTGATGATCAAATTAGGTATATAATTAAAATTATTAGAACTTTGAGATGAGTTCTCAAAATAGTTGCTAGTATAATTAGCTAGCATGATCATTTTTAAATATCAGTTTTGTGTATCTAGATTCTTGTCTGGTGCAACCTAAGTGCACTTTAAAATCTTAGAGATATTGTAGATGTGAATTGAGTTTATATGAATAAAATTGTAGATGTGAATTGAGTTTATATGAATAAAATTGTAGCATATCATGTGCAGTTTCTAAATCGTAAAGATTACTCTGATTTTTTGCATTTTGTTAGGTATGAGATTACCATCATATCGCACATTAAAAACTTGAGTATATTCGTATTATAAATGACTTGATATATAAATTATAATTAAATGCTATATATGGTCGAGGTTGACCTCTAAACGACTAGACTAGACCAGAGCACAGCTAACGTCGCATAATAAAATAATGGATCATTTATGTTCATAACAATGTTATATCTCTGGGTAATGTTATTTGTATCAACTTTTGTACAAAAAGAATTTACCCCATATCTATATAACAAGAGTAATGCTATGCTTACTCACCATCTTATTATTGTTTGTAAATATAATGCATAGTACGGGTACCATACGCATAGTACGGGTACTATGTATAAGGTTTTAGTAAAACTCATAAGTTTAATATTTCTAATATAACAATTGATAACAATTGAAGGACCACTTGAAGATATAAAAGTATTCACACCCATATCATAAAGTAACTAAGCTTATATAACCAAGGGTGAAGTCAGAAAAATTATTTTGAAGGTCAAATTGTAATGTTTAATGAATATAGGGGTTATAGTTAATTAGGAATTAATGTTTTAAAACCCAACTTGGGGTGAAACCTGGCAAAGTTGCTAGGTCCTAGGTTGATCGGTTGATAAAATTTTTTAAAATTCAGCAAATATACCCCTAAAATCTATGGTGCATCTCTATAGGTTTAAAAGTTAGCAAACACACCCCAAATACAAATCGGTCGGTGAATGGTTGGCGGCGGCGACACCCCAGGTGCAACCCCAATCGTCCTTTGAGCCCATTTTCCTTAAAATATACCTAAGATCTGGTCGAAATATGTTCGATTTTGGCCAAATCTGACGTCGGTGTTAGCATTCTAGACCAGATCTCATCGATGCCGATGTCGACAACCCTTCCCATCACCTAAAAATTACTCCCATTTTCCTCCCAACCAAAACCCACCTCACCCCACCCCTGTTAGCCTCTCTAATTGCCGGTAAAAGCTGGTTGTTGCCACTGCCAGTTTTGTTCGATTTCTGGTCGATTTACTCACTGAAAATCAACGTCGTCACCACTATTGCATTCATTGGCGGTTTTTCTTCAAAAGCTCCAACATCCCAGCCAGCAATTGTTCGTCGATCATCCTCCCAAATCTTAGGGTTTTGAGTGAATAGGAAAAACATAAACTCGGCCCGTTGAAGCTTCCAGGTCCTGGTTCAACTGATTAAACCGGTCGGGCCAGGTTAGGTTTTAAAACAATGTTAGGAATCACATTTCAGGTTGTTTGTGGGGGGGGCGCAAACATTAAGTTCAATAACTAAGGGAGCCTAAATGCAGAAATTAGGACCACCCCAAGTCCACGAAAATCTTTAAAATTTATATGGAAAAATAACAATTTAAACCTGTAAATATAGTTTCTTTCCTGGCCACTCTAGTTTGTGAAGATAACACTTTAGTCCCAGCAAAGTTCAGCAAACGCAACTTTCTGATGTTTCTGGCACCGTTGTTCATTGAAGATAACATCTTGACCCCCAATAACATATTTTCTGGCTCTGCCCTTGCCTATAACTATGTTATAGAGTGGTTAGGACCATTCAACGAACCACCCCAAATCATAGAATAGCGAGGTTCATGCCAATGCCATAATGTCGGTACGCCCATGTGACTATAGGTTAAAAAATATTCTTCACTAATAGTGGGGCTACCACATGTGATTCATGTTTTTCATCAAATTTTATTCCACGTGGACAATCAATGAACCATATTAAGTGTACAGCCTTTAAACTCACTAATATTATTTTCATTTATTGAATTAAATATTTAGATTTAATATTTCATTTAGAGTTAATGACTAATCTCCATGGTATGATATAATAATAAAAAAAACCTTTGAGATTTTTAATATTACATTAATTTTTGTCTTCAATTTTGTAGGTTTTAAGATAAAGGATAGGATAGGATAGCAATTTGATAATTTTTATTAACTTATAACAACGTAAATTTTAATGACTCATTAACAATTCATTAATGGTTGGATGCCTTATCTCTTGTTAATTGTCGACTATAAAGAATGACCTCTAACGGCTCCTACACTCCCCTTTTAAGGAGCACCCCTCCTTAGAGATGGCAATTATACTCAGATTTACGAGAACCCAGCCCATACAAGTCGGGCATTAACTGTTGTTTGCGAGGATGGACATAGGCCTAGGTATAGTCTTAGGGCTTCCCCTCGAGTACTAGTCTGGCTTGAGACAACCATCGCAAAGCCAAACCTAAATTTTTATCATTTAAAAAAAGTTAAAATTTTATTTTATTCGATTATGATTTTGAAATGAATTTATGATAACAATCAATTCGATTTTAGTCAAACCCAAGATCCATTGTTTACTATATTAATCTATACACACAAAAAATATGGTGATTAAAGCAAAAGATATTGTTAATTAAGTTAATATGAATGATAAAGAAAAATATATCAAAGATTGCCCATGAGAAAATAAATTAAAATTAACATGACAGGAAGTGAGAGTCACAAAAAGCCAGTCGGATCAGGCCTAGAATTACTTAACATCCTCGCAATAGGCCTAGCCTAAGCCCATGCCAGAGTATGGTGTCAGGACTCAAGCATAGGTCCGAACCTGGGCCAAGGGGTACTCGATCCCCGCCCGACCCATTGCCATCTTTACAATTTTGTATGCACACCCTCGTGCATATCATTCTTGCAAACACCCACCAGACAATTGTCAAAGTTTTCAACTCTGTGGCACAACCCGATGGCTTGAGGGATGCGAGTTACCTCTAGACGCAACTTCGCATGGTGTCCAAACATCTATTATTTTAAAAACTTTAAAGAAACTTTTATTATTATATAATATCTAGGAATATTAATGTCATTAACTCTTAATTAAAAGAGAACTATTACCCCAAAGTCAACAACCACCACATTATAAATTCAAATACTGGGAAAATAAAAGTGGCTTTCTTTTTTAAAGTAGTAATAAATAATTATATCTATTCCATTTTTATTATTATTTTGGCATACGTGTAATAAGATGATGTCAGATATAATTTCTAGCATATGTCATGTTTGTTGGATTGACTAAGACTTTGTTTGTTTGTTTGTTTTCTATTATTAACATTGAGATGTCCCCACACTCGAAGGTATAAGATAAATTCTTAATCAACGATCAGGCATTCGAGTTCTATTTTTATTTATATATTTTTGTGAAAACACCAAGTTGTCCTCACACACGAAAGTATGAAACTAATTCTCAATCAATTTTAAGTTTTTTTTTTTTTTTTTTTTGTGAAAACCTCAAGATGTCCCTACACCCAGAGGTATGAGATTAGTTCTCCATCGGACCTCGAGTAAATGTCCTTGGTCATGAGCTACTTCCAATGAGATTCAAAACTCAGACATTACAGGTAAAGTTTACCCACTAAAAGTCCAGTTACCAGCTGGATCACAACTCCTAGTTTTATTTTTTATTTTTTTTTATTATTGTGATTCATGTGTTGGAAACTTTAACTTTTGATATTATTAGAGCCCAACAAATAAAATAATAGCAACCAAAAGTCTTATATATAAGGTCTTCTTTGTAATTATTATTAATTTGTTGGATTATGACATAATGTAAAGACTTTAGAGTCAGTGTTTAGAGTCCTTATTCTTATTAATTTTTTATTAATAGATTTTTGACAATAATTCCATGAGACTATTAGTTTTATTGGTGAAAGAGAAAATTATTAAATTTAAATTTATTTACTAGAAAATCTAATTATTTAAGAAAAAAGGGGAATTTGAAGGAAAAAAAAAAAAAATCACCAACTCTATCTAATTTTGCTTCTTAAATAAAAAAAATTAAAACAATTAGATAAAAGCCAAATCAAATTTCAAAAATGGGTATCCAAATGTTAATTCATTATTATATAAAATAATTAATTTAATTCGATGCATAATTTGGTCAGCAATTGAGGAGTGGGTGCGCACCTATGTCAACCATTACTATCCAAATTCAAGCCTAATTTGTAATGACAAAGAGTTACAATCATGGTACTCTGAATCCGTCAAAGTGGGTCATGCAGATCTTGCCCAAGAAAGTTGGTGGCCCACACTAACTAACGGTGATGATCTAGTCTCCGTTCTCACCACCATCATCTGGCTTGCATCCGCACAACATGCTGCACTCAATTTTGGTCAGTACCCATACGGTGGTTATGTGCCTAATCGCCCACCATTAATGAGAAGATTAATCCCAGATGAAAATGACCCTGAGTATGCTGTATTTTTAGCTGACCCACAAAAGTACTTCCTGGCAGCATTGCCAAGTTTGTTACAAGCCACAAAATATATGGCTGTGGTAGACACATTGTCTACACATTCACCTGATGAAGAGTACTTAGGAGAGAGACAACAACCGTCGATTTGGACCAGCGACGCCGATATAACCGAGGCATTCTTCGAGTTCTCGGCAGAGATCAGCCGGATAGAGAAGGAGATAGAAAAAAGGAACGCTGATCCTAGCCTTCGGAACCGGTGTGGTGCCGGAGTGTTACCATATGAGCTACTTGCACCAAGTTCTGAGCCTGGAGTAACATGTAGAGGAGTTCCAAATAGTGTATCAATTTGAACACAAATGGGGTTCAAATGGTCATGTTTGATGATCAAATTAGGTATATAATTAAAATTATTAGAACTTTGAGATGAGTTCTCAAAATAGTTGCTAGTATAATTAGCTAGCATGATCATTTTTAAATATCAGTTTTGTGTATCTAGATTCTTGTCTGGTGCAACCTAAGTGCACTTTAAAATCTTAGAGATATTGTAGATGTGAATTGAGTTTATATGAATAAAATTGTAGATGTGAATTGAGTTTATATGAATAAAATTGTAGCATATCATGTGCAGTTTCTAAATCGTAAAGATTACTCTGATTTTTTGCATTTTGTTAGGTATGAGATTACCATCATATCGCACATTAAAAACTTGAGTATATTCGTATTATAAATGACTTGATATATAAATTATAATTAAATGCTATATATGGTCGAGGTTGACCTCTAAACGACTAGACTAGACCAGAGCACAGCTACCGTCGCATAATAAAATAATGGATCATTTATGTTCATAACAATGTTATATCTCTGGGTAATGTTATTTGTATCAACTTTTGTACAAAAAGAATTTACCCCATATCTATATAACAAGAGTAATGCTATGCTTACTCACCATCTTATTATTGTTTGTAAATATAATGCATAGTACGGGTACCATACGCATAGTACGGGTACTATGTATAAGGTTTTAGTAAAACTCATAAGTTTAATATTTCTAATATAACAATTGATAACAATTGAAGGACCACTTGAAGATATAAAAGTATTCACACCCATATCATAAAGTAACTAAGCTTATATAACCAAGGGTGAAGTCGGAAAAATTATTTTGAAGGTCAAATTGTAATGTTTAATGAATATAGGGGCTATAGTTAATTAGGAATTAATGTTTTAAAACCCAACTTGGGGTGAAACCTGGCAAAGTTGCTAGGTCCTAGGTTGATCGGTTGATAAAATTTTTTAAAATTCAGCAAATATACCCCTAAAATCTATGGTGCATCTCTATAGGTTTAAAAGTTAGCAAACACACCCCAAATACAAATCGGTCGGTGAATGGTTGGCGGCGGCGACACCCCAGGTGCAACCCCAATCGTCCTTTGAGCCCATTTTCCTTAAAATATACCTAAGATCTGGTCGAAATATGTTCGATTTTGGCCAAATCTGACGTCGGTGTTAGCATTCTAGACCAGATCTCATCGATGCCGATGTCGACAACCCTTCCCATCACCTAAAAATTACTCCCATTTTCCTCCCAACCAAAACCCACCTCACCCCACCCCTGTTAGCCTCTCTAATTGCCGGTAAAAGCTGGTTGTTGCCACTGCCAGTTTTGTTCGATTTCTGGTCGATTTACTCACTGAAAATCAACGTCGTCACCACTATTGCATTCATTGGCGGTTTTTCTTCAAAAGCTCCAACATCCCAGCCAGCAATTGTTCGTCGATCATCCTCCCAAATCTTAGGGTTTTGAGTGAATAGGAAAAACATAAACTCGGCCCGTTGAAGCTTCCAGGTCCTGGTTCAACTGATTAAACCGGTCGGGCCAGGTTAGGTTTTAAAACAATGTTAGGAATCACATTTCAGGTTGTTTGTGGGGGGGGCGCAAACATTAAGTTCAATAACTAAGGGAGCCTAAATGCAGAAATTAGGACCACCCCAAGTCCACGAAAATCTTTAAAATTTATATGGAAAAATAACAATTTAAACCTGTAAATATAGTTTCTTTCCTGGCCACTCTAGTTTGTGAAGATAACACTTTAGTCCCAGCAAAGTTCAGCAAACGCAACTTTCTGATGTTTCTGGCACCGTTGTTCATTGAAGATAACATCTTGACCCCCAATAACATATTTTCTGGCTCTGCCCTTGCCTATAACTATGTTATAGAGTGGTTAGGACCATTCAACGAACCACCCCAAATCATAGAATAGCGAGGTTCATGCCAATGCCATAATGTCGGTACGCCCATGTGACTATAGGTTAAAAAATATTCTTCACTAATAGTGGGGCTACCACATGTGATTCATGTTTTTCATCAAATTTTATTCCACGTGGACAATCAATGAACCATATTAAGTGTACAGCCTTTAAACTCACTAATATTATTTTCATTTATTGAATTAAATATTTAGATTTAATATTTCATTTAGAGTTAATGACTAATCTCCATGGTATGATATAATAATAAAAAAAACCTTTGAGATTTTTAATATTACATTAATTTTTGTCTTCAATTTTGTAGGTTTTAAGATAAAGGATAGGATAGGATAGCAATTTGATAATTTTTATTAACTTATAACAACGTAAATTTTAATGACTCATTAACAATTCATTAATGGTTGGATGCCTTATCTCTTGTTAATTGTCGACTATAAAGAATGACCTCTAACGGCTCCTACACTCCCCTTTTAAGGAGCACCCCTCCTTAGAGATGGCAATTATACTCAGATTTACGAGAACCCAGCCCATACAAGTCGGGCATTAACTGTTGTTTGCGAGGATGGACATAGGCCTAGGTATAGTCTTAGGGCTTCCCCTCGAGTACTAGTCTGGCTTGAGACAACCATCGCAAAGCCAAACCTAAATTTTTATCATTTAAAAAAAGTTAAAATTTTATTTTATTCGATTATGATTTTGAAATGAATTTATGATAACAATCAATTCGATTTTAGTCAAACCCAAGATCCATTGTTTACTATATTAATCTATACACACAAAAAATATGGTGATTAAAGCAAAAGATATTGTTAATTAAGTTAATATGAATGATAAAGAAAAATATATCAAAGATTGCCCATGAGAAAATAAATTAAAATTAACATGACAGGAAGTGAGAGTCACAAAAAGCCAGTCGGATCAGGCCTAGAATTACTTAACATCCTCGCAATAGGCCTAGCCTAAGCCCATGCCAGAGTATGGTGTCAGGACTCAAGCATAGGTCCGAACCTGGGCCAAGGGGTACTCGATCCCCGCCCGACCCATTGCCATCTTTACAATTTTGTATGCACACCCTCGTGCATATCATTCTTGCAAACACCCACCAGACAATTGTCAAAGTTTTCAACTCTGTGGCACAACCCGATGGCTTGAGGGATGCGAGTTACCTCTAGACGCAACTTCGCATGGTGTCCAAACATCTATTATTTTAAAAACTTTAAAGAAACTTTTATTATTATATAATATCTAGGAATATTAATGTCATTAACTCTTAATTAAAAGAGAACTATTACCCCAAAGTCAACAACCACCACATTATAAATTCAAATACTGGGAAAATAAAAGTGGCTTTCTTTTTTAAAGTAGTAATAAATAATTATATCTATTCCATTTTTATTATTATTTTGGCATACGTGTAATAAGATGATGTCAGATATAATTTCTAGCATATGTCATGTTTGTTGGATTGACTAAGACTTTGTTTGTTTGTTTGTTTTCTATTATTAACATTGAGATGTCCCCACACTCGAAGGTATAAGATAAATTCTTAATCAACGATCAGGCATTCGAGTTCTATTTTTATTTATATATTTTTGTGAAAACACCAAGTTGTCCTCACACACGAAAGTATGAAACTAATTCTCAATCAATTTTAAGTTTTTTTTTTTTTTTTTTTTGTGAAAACCTCAAGATGTCCCTACACCCAGAGGTATGAGATTAGTTCTCCATCGGACCTCGAGTAAATGTCCTTGGTCATGAGCTACTTCCAATGAGATTCAAAACTCAGACATTACAGGTAAAGTTTACCCACTAAAAGTCCAGTTACCAGCTGGATCACAACTCCTAGTTTTATTTTTTATTTTTTTTTATTATTGTGATTCATGTGTTGGAAACTTTAACTTTTGATATTATTAGAGCCCAACAAATAAAATAATAGCAACCAAAAGTCTTATATATAAGGTCTTCTTTGTAATTATTATTAATTTGTTGGATTATGACATAATGTAAAGACTTTAGAGTCAGTGTTTAGAGTCCTTATTCTTATTAATTTTTTATAAAGAGATTTTTGACAATAATTCCATGAGACTATTAGTTTTATTGGTGAAAGAGAAAATTATTAAATTTAAATTTATTTACTAGAAAATCTAATTATTTAAGAAAAAAGGGGAATTTGAAGGAAAAAAAAAAAAATCACCAACTCTATCTAATTTTGCTTCTTAAATAAAAAAAATTAAAACAATTAGATAAAAGCCAAATCAAATTTCAAAAATGGGTATCCAAATGTTAATTCATTATTATATAAAATAATTAATTTAATTCGATTTTGACATAATGTCTTAAATATTTTAACGACTTTCAGAAAACCATGAAACACACTTTACGAGAAGGGTTAGTTTTTGATAATTTTAAGAGATATTTAATAACTTTTTTTTTTTTAATATTAACCCTTTTATTATTATATTATTCTTTAGTCTAATTCTATTTACTTTTTTTTCTTTAACAAATTAAAAAAAAAAAAAAAAAAAGAACTCACCCACGTTAAACATATCTTATCTTATTTTAATATTGTTTGGCAAAAGGAATCTCTCTTATATATGACAAAATTGTGGTAGTTATATAGTAATTAAATTAATTAATTAATTTCCACTTTATTATAATCTCAAATTTTGACTAACTCAACTAACCCCATAATTTATTTAAAGAACTTTGGAAATTTCAATTAAATTCAGTAGGAGCTCACAATGAACCCCACATAATTTCTTGTCATTTTTCTCCTTTGTTTTCTTCCTCCAAAAAGTTGGTAAACTTTGATGAACCTTCGCTGAACTTACAACAAATTTCTCTTTATCAAAAAAAAAAAAAAAAGGCAAAAAAAAAAAACAAATCTTTCTTGAAATCTCTTGAATTTGCTTGACTATCTAAACGTTATAACGGCCACCTAAATGGTCAATGCTCATATGAAGAATCATGTTTAGATAAAAAATCAAATATGAGACTGTGTATTTATCGATATTATCTTCTATTTATCATAATCATCTAAACAACCTCTCAGACTTGTTTTATGAGTCTTGAATTTGAAAATGAAAATCATGAAATAATAATCGATAATCATCTAATTACCTAACAATGTGTTCGTGAATATGAACACAATATATGAGCAATAAATAATATTTGATTTTGTTGATAAAGTAATGAAAGGAATTATATGATTAAAGTAATGAAGGGAAGCACTAAACTTGTAAATTATTCAGCCTCCGGCTGCATTGACTCAAGTCAATCTCAAATAAATTTTCTTTTTCCTTTTACTTTCCCACAAATTTTCCGAGAAATTACCATGAAAAACGAAAGGCATTTTCCAAAGTCAAAGTCAATTCAAAAATTCCCCACTTCATTTTTCCAACACCCACCAACCCAAATAAACATAAATCCATATATATCTACAATAAAATTAAGAATTCCAATAACTCTCTATTATTATGTTATATGAATTTCATAAACTATCTCAAAAACTTCTGAAACTATCACTCAGAATATGATTACGAGAAAAATAAATATCTTGAGCGACAATATTAAAGGGTGTGTTTGTTTTAGTATTTAGAATAGTATTTTTGAAATAGTAAAAGTTGGATGGGAATTACGCGGTTGAATTTGAAAATAAATAAAAACACCATGTAGGTTTGTTAATTTTCTAAACACCCCTATAATAAAAACATTAAAAATTACAAAAATATCCCCACTCACCCATTAAATATCGACCACCACCACGTTTGGTCGTCAACGACAACCATATCTTGGCCGTCATTGACAACTAGTTACGGCCAAAGACCTAACCGTCTACGGCTATATCTTTGGCCGTAGATCTAGCTGAAAAATACTATATCAGCGTACTATCGATCAGATCCAGCTGATAGTGTACCATTATACCAAATTCCAACCACCTTTTGTCGGTGGTGGCTAGAATCTAGCAAATGTTAGTGGTAGGGGTGTTTTTATTAATTTCTAAACTTTTTTTGGGGTGGTGTTTAGTTAAATTAACAAATTTAAGAGATTTATAAATAATTGAATAAAATATAATAATATTTTCAGAATAGGGAAACAAATATATATTTTGTAAATGGTAGGAATAGAATAGGGAAAACTTCGATGTAGTTTCTGGATTTTAATAAACATTATTTTGTTCACACGGTGACACTGGTCTTCCCTCTACATAGAAGGGATTCAAAGTTGATATTTTCTTGTCGAATTCATACCTACAAATCAATAGCTTAACATACTTCACTCTTTAGGAAATGGTCAAATTGGAGGCTTTTGGACCATCCCACTCACAAAGACTCTCACTTTGTTTGTTTATTCATACTTTTTTCTATGACAAGTAGGCCACTAAATTATTAATGCATAGTGAGGAAATTGCAAAACCCATTACATCACTAATTTAATTAATCAATCAAACTCCACATGAAGTATGCCTAAGTTCAATTATTTTACTCAATTAAAAATATCAAATCCCAAAGACTTGAGCTCTTATGGTTCATCACTCACAAAACTCAACTATAAATATCCCCACCACACTGACACTACCACATCCCAACTTCATTAAATCTTTCACTATAACCCCTCAATGGAGCTCATCACCCCCTCTTGGGCCTCCTACTTCGCAGCGTGGCTAGCCACTGTTGCCCTCGTCCTCCTGTCCCGCCGACTCCGTAAACCGAAACTCAAACTCCCTCCGGGGCCAAAACCATGGCCTATCATTGGAAACCTCAACCTTATCGGTCCACTTCCGCACCGGTCCATCCACGAGCTGTCGCAGAAATATGGGGCCATTATGCATCTCAAATTTGGGTCATTCCCTGTTGTGGTGGGCTCTTCTGTTGAGATGGCGAAAACCATCCTCAAAACTGATGACGTCCACTTCGCTGGCCGGCCCAAAATAGCCGCCGGCAAATACACCACCTACAATTATTCTGATATCACTTGGTCACCTTACGGTCCTTACTGGCGCCAGGCTCGCAAAATGTGCTTGATGGAGCTGTTTAGCGCTAAACGCCTTGAATCTTACGAGTACATAAGGGTGGAAGAGATGAAATTGTTGCTTAAAGGGCTGCAGAAGTCAGCTGGGAAGAGTATTTTGTTGAAGGACTATCTTTCGGACGTGAGTTTGAACGTGATTAGTCGCATGGTGTTGGGGAAAAAATACACAGACAAGCATGAAGAGAACGAGATTGTGACGCCACAAGAGTTTAAGGAAATGCTTGATGAGTTGTTCTTGCTCAATGGGGTGTTGGATATCGGGGACTCGATTCCCTGGCTCGCGTTCTTGGACTTGCAGGGTTACAGAAAGAGAATGAAGGCTTTGGCGAAAAAGTTTGACAGGTTTTTGGAGCATGTTTTGGATGTACATAACGCGAGGAGGAAAGGTGTGGAGAATTATGTTGCGAGAGACATGGTTGATGTCCTGTTGCAGCTCGCCGATGATCCCAATCTCGAGGTTAAGCTCGAAAGACATGGCGTCAAAGCTTTTACTCAGGTATGTCCAGTTTCAACTGTTTCTACAAGTTCTTTCCCATTTCATTGATAGTGACTCATTGAGTACTTATCTCTATACCGTTTTCAGAATACAATTATCATGAAAAATACTTTTCTTTGTTTGTTGACTGCACGATAAACTGTTTGACTATGTACTAATGGACCACAAGGAATCCTGTGAAGCCTTGAATCTAAACTGCTTTCCAATTTACGTCAAGGCCTCATTTTCCCTGCAACTTCTCATACAGCAACAAGCCAAAAACTAGCTTGCAAGCCATTTCTGACTTCAGTTTTTTTTTTTTTCCCTAACTAAATCTATTGAAAAATGAAACTAAGCTATTTGCTATAAGATGAATTTTTTTTAAGAGAAGTTAATTTTTCAAAGGGTGATTCTCAATTTGGAGTACAAGGCTCAAAACTGATCCAAATACGATGCCAGAGGATCAAAGAATGTTACCCCAAATTTGCTATGCAGTAAATGCTTCAGAAAAGTTTAGTAATGGCGACAAGTATTTTATACCAAACAAACAGACCATATGAGTCCGTTCTTCATTACTTTAATAAGACATTTTACTATTTTTGTATATATGAAGTCTACATATCATTGGGGGGAGAGGGTTCCACAGAAGCATATTGCATTTATTTACTGTGTAACTCATCCAGGAGGCATGTGGAAAGACCAGAGCCACAGGAGATCTATTTCTGATAATTTCAATAGTGACATGATTTTTAACTTTAATAATTATGTAAAAATTATTGAGATATGCAACAACCGGATCTTTTTATTTTTGTCTTGTGGCTAACAATGAGCTGTTTGTCGGCAGGACTTGATAGCTGGAGGTACTGAGAGCTCAGCAGTGACAGTGGAATGGGCCATCTCTGAGCTAATAAAGAAACCAGAGATATTCGCCAAGGCAACAGAAGAATTAGACAGAGTGATCGGAAGAGAAAGATGGGTTGAAGAGAAAGACATCGTTAACCTACCGTTTATCGACGCCATCGTCAAAGAGACTATGCGTCTGCACCCGGTGGCACCATTGCTAGTCCCCCGAATGACTAGACAAGACGTCAAAGTCGCCGGCTATGACATCCCCAAAGACACGCGTGCCCTGGTCAGTGTGTGGACGATCGGAAGAGATCCAGAATTGTGGGAGAACCCGAATGAATTTTATCCTGAGAGATTCATTGGGAAGTCAATTGATGTGAAAGGTCATGACTTTGAAATATTGCCATTTGGAGCAGGAAGGAGGATGTGTCCAGGGTACAGTCTAGGACTCAAAGTGATTCAATCAAGTTTGGCTAATCTTCTGCATGGATTTGCATGGAAATTGCCTGGAAACATGACCAAAGAAGATCTAAACATGGAGGAAATTTTCGGGCTCTCAACTCCAAGAAAATTCCCACTTGAAGCTGTTGTTGAACAGAGGCTTGCACCCCATCTTTACGCTATGTAATTTAACTATGTTATGGCTTAATTAGATTGCCTTAATCTATAGAGTAAGAGCAATTTCAATAAGGGCTTAATGGTGAGAGTGTAATGTGAGTGGATAAATTCTGTCACATCTTGATTAATGTATGCATAACAGTATTCCTTTCTTCATGTCATGTGATAATATGTTGTATGGTTTGAATATAATATATGTGGGATTCTGGGCAAAGATTAAAATAAAATGAGATAAGTAATGAGATTACTATATAAAAATGGTATTATTTTATTTGTTATTGTAAAATTTTAAGTGTTTAGAGAATAATAAATGACTCAGGTTATTTACNGGGTTGAAGAGAAAGACATCGTTAACCTACCGTTTATCGACGCCATCGTCAAAGAGACTATGCGTCTGCACCCGGTGGCACCATTGCTAGTCCCCCGAATGACTAGACAAGACGTCAAAGTCGCCGGCTATGACATCCCCAAAGACACGCGTGCCCTGGTCAGTGTGTGGACGATCGGAAGAGATCCAGAATTGTGGGAGAACCCGAATGAATTTTACCCTGAGAGATTCATTGGGAAGTCAATTGATGTGAAAGGTCATGACTTTGAATTATTGCCATTTGGAGCCGGAAGGAGGATGTGTCCAGGGTACAGTCTAGGACTCAAAGTGATTCAATCAAGTTTGGCTAATCTTCTGCATGGATTTGCATGGAAATTGCCTGGAAACATGACCAAAGAAGATCTAAACATGGAGGAAATTTTCGGGCTCTCAACTCCAAGAAAATTCCCACTTGAAGCTGTTGTTGAACAGAGGCTTGCACCCCATCTTTACGCTATGTAATTTAACTATGTTATGGCTTAATTAGATTGCCTTAATCTATAGAGTAAGAGCAATTTCAATAAGGGCTTAATGGTGAGAGTGTAATGTGAGTGGATAAATTCTGTCACATCTTGATTAATGTATGCATAACAGTATTCCTTTCTTCATGTCATGTGATAATATGTTGTATGGTTTGAATATAATATATGTGGGATTCTGGGCAAAGATTAAAATAAAATGAGATAAGTAATGAGATTACTATATAAAAATGGTATTATTTTATTTGTTATTGTAAAATTTTAAGTGTTTAGAGAATAATAAATGACTCAGGTTATTTACTTGGTTTGGTGACTCGTATAAGACAACTCGCAGGAATGGCACCCAAAAGAGCATAGCCCAAGCCTTCATATTAAATGCAGGGGACTGTCTTCTTCTAATCATGGCAGTGTGGAACTAAAACTAAGACTCCCGGTGCGAAGTTCATCCAATCAATAGCTGGTGGCTTGACTGACACAGTGGATTATGGAAAGTTAAGCCCCGAGTGAAAATCCATTGTTTAGGCCATTATTTGCTGGGTTTGATCATACAGTTGCATTTCTGAGTCTGGCTATGTGGCAGAGCCTACCGAAGGAAGAGAAAGAGAGTGGCCGGTAGAGGTCTTCTTGCTTCCGCGCTTGCCTTCCATACTATATATTAATCTAAAGGAATACACTATAACTGCCCTAAGATAGACAGACATCCCATTTCACTGCGCTTACTGTCCTAACAGCCCTCTCTACCCTTTCTTCTACTGCTGAGCTGCTATATTCCATCCATCCTTGTTCTTTTCTTCCTTTCTTATGGAGCACATTGCTGACACAGGGTACTCAGTATAAAAGCGCTCGTATGAGTAGTATCGGAAAGCAGCTTAAGTCACACCAGGTACAGATAAGAGGAATTTTTCTATTGTCTCATCAGGGTTTCTATCCGAACTAGGAGAAGAAGTAGTCAAGGAAGGCTTCTTTTGAAGAGTTTGAGGAGCTAGCCGGTACTCTTTGGGACGAAAGAAGCAAAGAGCCCCTACTTCTCAGAGATAGAATTATTGGCTAAGAAAGCCGTCTATAGTGAAAGGGGTAAATGACTGTATTCTATTCGGTAAATGGGGAATGAATACAATTTTATGCCCCCTAATCGCCGACATTAGCCCCCAAAGATGCAAAAAGAGTAGGATATGCAAAGGTCACTCCAGGGTGGCTCAAAGGTCGATCAAGGATATCCCTGTCCTGTGCCCTATTCACTAAGATATTCGAATTTGCCCTTACCGAAAAGCAAGGCTTACCCCACTAGTGGAATTCCGATTCCGGTATTCTATCTATTCACCCTTGTTTGGGCATTGTTAAGTGTTAACTATTAGGATCAAACGTTTAAATTATCATTCGTTATTCGTAGGAATTTGACGTCTACAATTTGATAATAATGTCTATAATATATATACATCATAACCTCTTTCACGCTTGACATCATCCATGGGCATGCATGGTTAGAGTCCAAACCCATAAGGACCCATCATTGCCCCCGATAAAGATAAGCGGACTTGATTAGAATTCACTCCTAAAAACAAGCTCTAGAGAGAAGGAAATTCAACTATATATATACAACATAACAACTTACTAAATTGACGATGTGAAATAAATACAACTTTAAGTTTTTATAGTCTCCATCATGACAATATCTATCTCATTCTTTATTGATGTTATCATAATCTCGAAACATAGCAGTTTTATTTACCTCATTTCAATTATTAAATTATATGAGAAAATAAATTATTCAAATTGTCTAATGAAAAGAAAATTAAATCTTTTCATTTTTGGCCGGATGGTAATTCCTTTAGTCACTGGGGGTCTTATCTTCCAGTCGTGGGAGAGGCAATTATCGGGTTTACCCAAAAAAAAAAAAAAAAATTAATTTTAGAATTAAATAGGTTAAACAAGTTGCAATTAATGAGAGAACAAATAATATATGGGCCTTCAAATGTTGGCTGAGAAAAAAAACTAGGCCCATTAAACTGTGATTGCGTGGCAATGGATCAAACGAAGCAACATCATGTATCATACAGGGTCACTTCACAAATCATCATCATCATTTTCTTTTTCAGGCGAAACTCAAAACGCAAAAATTTACCATCAAAACGACAATGCTACGAAGCCTCATCAGGAACCCGACGAATCTGACGACACCTCTTCGCCGTTATCTTCTGTCTTCCTCTCCGTCCAGTCTGTTCTCTTCCTGCTCGGTGGTGACTCAGTTGAGCCGGGTACCTAGTTTGCTAGAGGGGTGTGACTATGAGCACTGGCTTGTCGTCATGGAGGCTCCCATGGGATACCCACCTCGTGATGAGATCGTTAATGGCTATGTCAAGACTCTCGCTATGGCTTTCGGCAGGTAAAGTTTCAACCTTTTGTTTCCTTCAATTTAGTTTTAGCCGTTTATCATTCATTTCGGTTTTCTTAAATTGGTATATGCAGTGAAGAGGAAGCAAAGAAATCTATATACTCAGTTTCCACTAAATACTACTATGCATTTGGTTGCAAAGTCCCAGAAAACTTCACTTATAAGATCAAAGGTAAGGTTTCTTTTCGTTGTTTGTTTTTTCCTTTGACATTTTCCTCTGATTTTGTGTTTATGATTTTGTTCTGGTTGGTTTGCAGTCTTGCCAAATGTGAAATGGATTCTACCAGATTCTTATTTGTTCAATGGTGAAAATAGTTATGGAGGTACTATTATTCATCTTGCTTTATTGATATATGGATTAGTGATTGATCATTCCATTTCAGCAACATTATCTCATTTTAGTGAGACATCTGATTTTAAGCATGAGCTGGAGCTAGTAAATTTAGGTGTTGCTAAAAATTGAGGCATCCGATTATAATTTGTTTTTTTATGGTGGTGGTGGTGGTGTTGGTTTCTTTTGTGACCAAGAAGTGGAAGGCATTAGAGAGGATACAATTGAATAGTTTCAATGTCACACGACGGGTTGTATGAACTCCTTGCTTGGACGAATAGGCCTACATGCATTTGAATTACTGCAGAAACAAAAGTTGATGCATTACTTTGTAATTTGTTCGTTTCCGGCATGTTTATCAATATAATTGTAGTCAATGTATTCATCCAATGGATCTATAACTTCTCTAGTGTGTGCTGTTAATTTGTCATGATGATAGTTGTGTTTGATGAAATCCCATGTGGTGTCTATGTTGTTCCTAAGATAATAAATTAAGTACTTGTACTGGGCTGAGGAAATTGTTATGAATGTGTAACAGTATAAGTAACACCAGTCTCAATCCATTAATTGGGAATCCATAATCAAGGTCTATGTTCTGACTTGATACAATGAACGATTTGATGCTAATTGCAAGTTGTTTGAGTCCAAATCTATGTTAAAGGGAACTCAAACAGAATGATAACGTAATGATTTTGCCGTGCATATCCTGATTTTGCATTCATTGCAACATCATGTGTTATTTGGTTATGTTTTTGTAATTGGAAGGCTCATTTTGGGTAAATTACAAGTTCTTTTTTGTTTATTATAAAACTGTTATTATTTTCTCGCAGGAGAACCGTTTGTTAATGGGGAGGTTGTTCCATATGATGACAAGTGTCATATGGACTGGATCCAGGACAGAAATGTTGATAAATGTAAGAGCTTACCCAACTTAAAGAAATCCAGGAGAAAACGTAGAAAAAACCATCTAACTATAGGCATGTAGCCGGATTTAAACTTTTCCATCTTCCTGAAAGTGAAGAAGCAGTGCCATCCAATCCACAAGTTGTACTTTGCCGAGGCTATCATTTGGATGCATATCAGTGGCTGGTTTTCTTTGCCAAGCTTGGACTCAATTGGATTCAGGCTTAGAGAAATACTTGGTTGATGTGGAATCCTATTTAGTTATGTCAAAAATTTACAGAGCAACTTGGTACTGCAACTACAATGGCACAGATAGTTACTTAACATGGTATTGGAGTTAAAGTCTTCTTATTACAATCAGCATTTGTTCATCTGTAATCTGTTCTGTCTGGGTTTGATACGTTTGCGGACAGTCCACATTTGATAGACAGAGAAGTTGTTATTACACAGGATTTGGCTACTTAGGAGACATCCCCCTTGGGAAAAAAAGTTGTAACATCAGCTGATAGAGCACAGGATTTGAGGGCCAGGAATTGTAAGAAAAATTTTGACAACTGATGAAAGGGAGGAGCATTCTCATTGATCTTCAGGATTTAGGATTTGTATATATCATGCTGACATGTTCTGTAGGTAAGCAAAATGTAGCAAATTGTGAATTTTCTTTGTTTCAATGTCTTAAACGTGTGTGATTTTGCTCAGACGCTTAAGAATCAATCAACTTCTTCCGACTCTTGCAAGGGAATCATCTTACCTCATTGATTCTGACCATGAGCTCATTTCAAACTCCTTTCACATGAACTACCTGCAGCAAAAAGTATGATGTTCCCGAACTGGATTGCCAAGTTTCTCAATAAAAAATATATACCTGATAACTCCAATGGTTAGGTTAATCTCCAAGATCTAGAACTGATTAAGTTTGTCCAGTTAGGCAAGAAATAAGTCAAGACCAGTTTGTCTGCTTATCTTAGTATTTAGTTCTGCAAATGGTCAATCATGTTCCTTTATTCTGTTAAGATAAGATGAAAAAGAAAAAGGCACAAAATGTGGACCAAATGAGTTTTACCCCTCAACTGAAACTATATAATAACCAAATACAGATGTATAAAGTATGCTTGGATCAAACTTCAAGGTGACAATCTTTGAAATTTAAAGTCTTTGTTAGAGGTTCCACCATATAACATTAGTGTTTACAATTTTAAACTTGTAAAAATACATATGCTGCCACCAAAAATCTTTCCACAGTTACATCATCTTCAGTTGACAATTTGATTGTTTATACAAATTTTCTAGACTTTTGATCTTCATCATTGCTCACTTTTCCAGAATTTCTGAGGCCACATGTTTCAGGAAAATAGAATAAAGAAAATGAACGAGGCCAGATATTTATAAAATAAGATACATGCATTTCAGCCTTGCCTACTAAATTATTTGTAAATTGTAACAGTCAGAGGCATGCTGAATTATAATAATCTAGCTTTCATTTCCCAGTTCCGTCCAATGAAGAAGCAAAGTCCCTGTCTAGCTTTTTGTTTTACAACTTTTTCTTTATAATGATAAGATCTGGTTAGACTTTTTGAATAAATCCAGTATTGTAACTTTCTGAGATGACTAATCATCAGTAGCTTTATATTAACCACTTTATGAGAACTCATGGAAGAAGATTTCACACCTATGATTATCAATATGCTCAACAGTTGGTGATTCTCCAATCCTGAAAATTACACTAATAAAGTTCTTCAATGACTTGGTATGAAAAATTACTACCATATTGGACTGATAATGTTGATGCTTGATTTTGACACCAATAACTCGCACGTGGGAAATGCTAAACTAACTCAGGAGACACACGTGAATGAGGGATTGAGATGAGTACAAGGTGGAGAAACAATGTTTAAAGTAGTTCAGATGCTTAAACAAGCGAATCATATGTCCACTGATATTGTATTTATATATGTAGGATCAGGTCGCATCTAGCGAGCTGATTCAGAGTATTGAGAAAACAAGTGAGAGAGAGAGAATGAGCTATTGCAGAGTGAAATTCGCTAATCCCACAAACGGGAGGGGGACTCTATTTATAGTGGGTTGAATTGGGGTAATGATTATTGAATCCGTAAAAAGGGGACAGATACCGTGCAAATCCTTCTTTGCATCCCGTTGTTCATCTGCTCGAGTGATTTTCTCGATTTGTGCAGGCATTGGACACGTGGATAGCCTCCAGCCTTTCGTCAGTCTGGCGTACACCCACTGCACTGACAGGAGCATGCTGCTCACGTCAGCATGCGACGTGGTTGCATCTGAACGGCTGCAGGACCTGTCTAAACTCTGAGCGCTGATGCTGACAAAGCTCTATGTCAGCCCTACTTTTTCAAGCATAACAAATAACATTATTATTTTCATTATAGTTCATGTTTGATTTTTGAGGAAAATGATGTATGACGTGTTATTTTATGAATTTGTTTTATTTTTTATTTTTAAATATTAAGAAGAACCGTTTACAGAAAATGAAAACACGTTTGACTTGTAGAAAAAAATACTTTAATAAGAAATCATAAATCACAATTTCATTATGCGGCGGTTGTGCGATTTATTGTTTTCAGTTAAATTATATTGTTTTTGACTTTAAAATCACATTTAATTGTTTTAGAATACTGCTTTTTTGGCATGAATTGTTTAGAAAAGAAGTTTTAAATTCCAATTTCTTTTTCATTTATAGCAAAAATCATCTTTTCATCGTTTCTTATTTAAAATTAGGATTTCCTTAACCATTTAAAAAGCTGTAAATGCTAAAACTTTTATTCAATATTTATTCTGAATAAAAACTACTCAATATAGAGACCGACAAGGAATTTTCTTTCCTTGTTTTTCACATTTCTACTTCAAAATCCAACCCTGCCAAATTTTTTGACTTAAACTCAAATGGGAAATTTAGGGTTCATGAATAGTTCCTTGTAGTTGCCTCAAGTTGCTGTAGATGGAGTAGGTGAAATGGTGGGAATGCTCCAAGTCTTTGCTTATAGAAGTTTAAAATATCCAAGCTAGCTAGCCCCATAGAATTTGTGGCACAGCTTTTAAAGATTAGTAAAACCTGAGAGTCATCATCTCTTAAGAGTTGTTGAAACTTTGAACATCCCACCCCAAGTTAACCTGTTCTTAGAATGTTGACTTTGAACTTTCATTGAACAATTTTAGTTTTGAAATTCCAGAAGATTTTAGGTAGAGTTGCACTTCTCAGCAAGGCCTCAGCATGAGTAAGATTTCCAGACTTTTCCATCTTCTGAAAGTGAAGAAGCATGCCATCCAATCCCACAGTGTACTTTGCCGAGGCTATCATTTGGATGCTATCATGGCTGGTTTTCTTTGCCAAGCTTGACTCAATTGGATTCAGGCTTAGGAAATACTTGGTTGATGTAATCTATTAGTTATGTCAAAATTTAAGCAACTTGGTACTGCAACTACAATGGCAAGATAGTTACTTAACTGGTTGGGAGTTAAAGTCTCTTTTACAATCAGCATTTGTTCATCTGTAATGTTCTGTCTGGGTTTGATACGTTGCGGACAGTCCACTTTGATAAGAGAAGTTGTTATTACACAGGATTTGCGCTTAGGAGACTACCCCTTGGGAAAGTTGTAACATCAGCTGATAGAGCACAGGATTTGAGGGCCAGGAATTGTAAGAAAATTTTGACAACTGATAAAGGGAGGAGCATTCTCATTGATCTTCAGGATTAGGATTTGTAATATCATGCTGACATGTTCTGTAGTAGCAAAATGTAGCAAATTGTGAATTTTCTTTGTTTCAATGTCTTAAACGTGTGTGATTTTGTCAACGCGTTAAGATCATCAAACTTCTTCCGACTCTTGCAAGATCATCTTACCTCATTGTCTGACCATGAGCTCATTTCAAACTCCTTTCACATGAACACCTGCAGCAAAAAGTCTGCCTTGTTTGGGCATTGTTATCTATTAGGATCAAACGTTTATCACCAACCTAAAGTTACAATCATCAATAAAAATATAATATTTTTTTCTTTAAATTATTATCCGTTATTAGTAGGAATTTGATGTCTACAATTTGATAATGATGTCTACAATATATATATACATCATAACCTCTTTCACGCACGACATCATCTATGGGCATGCATGGGTAGGGTCCAAACCCATTAGGACCCATCATTGCTCCCGATAAAGATAAACGGACTTGATTATAATTCATTCTCAAAAACAAGTTCTAGAGAAGAGGAAACTCAACCACATATATATAACATAACAACTTACTAAATTGACAATGTGAAACAAATACAACTTCTAAGTTTTTACGGTCTCTATCATGACAATATCTATCTCATTCTTCATTGATGTTATCATAATCTTGAAACATAGTAGTTTTATTTATCTCATTTCAATTATTAAATTATGTGAGAAAATAAATTATTCAAATTGTCTAATGAAAAGAAAATTAAATCTTTTCATTTTTGGCCGGATGGTAATTCCTTTAGTCACTGGGGGTCTTATCTTCCAGTCGTGGGAGAGGCAATTATCGGGTTTACCCAAAAAAAAAAAAAATTAATTTTAGAATTAAATAGGTTAAACAAGTTGCAATTAATGAGAGAACAAATAATATATGGGCCTTCAAATGTTGGCTGAGAAAAAAAACTAGGCCCATTAAACTGTGATTGCGTGGCAATGGATCAAACGAAGCAACATCATGTATCATACAGGGTCACTTCACAAATCATCATCATCATTTTCTTTTTCAGGCGAAACTCAAAACGCAAAAATTTACCATCAAAACGACAATGCTACGAAGCCTCATCAGGAACCCGACGAATCTGACGACACCTCTTCGCCGTTATCTTCTGTCTTCCTCTCCGTCCAGTCTGTTCTCTTCCTGCTCGGTGGTGACTCAGTTGAGCCGGGTACCTAGTTTGCTAGAGGGGTGTGACTATGAGCACTGGCTTGTCGTCATGGAGGCTCCCATGGGATACCCACCTCGTGATGAGATCGTTAATGGCTATGTCAAGACTCTCGCTATGGCTTTCGGCAGGTAAAGTTTCAACCTTTTGTTTCCTTCAATTTAGTTTTAGCCGTTTATCATTCATTTCGGTTTTCTTAAATTGGTATATGCAGTGAAGAGGAAGCAAAGAAATCTATATACTCAGTTTCCACTAAATACTACTATGCATTTGGTTGCAAAGTCCCAGAAAACTTCACTTATAAGATCAAAGGTAAGGTTTCTTTTCGTTGTTTGTTTTTTCCTTTGACATTTTCCTCTGATTTTGTGTTTATGATTTTGTTCTGGTTGGTTTGCAGTCTTGCCAAATGTGAAATGGATTCTACCAGATTCTTATTTGTTCAATGGTGAAAATAGTTATGGAGGTACTATTATTCATCTTGCTTTATTGATATATGGATTAGTGATTGATCATTCCATTTCAGCAACATTATCTCATTTTAGTGAGACATCTGATTTTAAGCATGAGCTGGAGCTAGTAAATTTAGGTGTTGCTAAAAATTGAGGCATCCGATTATAATTTGTTTTTTTATGGTGGTGGTGGTGGTGTTGGTTTCTTTTGTGACCAAGAAGTGGAAGGCATTAGAGAGGATACAATTGAATAGTTTCAATGTCACACGACGGGTTGTATGAACTCCTTGCTTGGACGAATAGGCCTACATGCATTTGAATTACTGCAGAAACAAAAGTTGATGCATTACTTTGTAATTTGTTCGTTTCCGGCATGTTTATCAATATAATTGTAGTCAATGTATTCATCCAATGGATCTATAACTTCTCTAGTGTGTGCTGTTAATTTGTCATGATGATAGTTGTGTTTGATGAAATCCCATGTGGTGTCTATGTTGTTCCTAAGATAATAAATTAAGTACTTGTACTGGGCTGAGGAAATTGTTATGAATGTGTAACAGTATAAGTAACACCAGTCTCAATCCATTAATTGGGAATCCATAATCAAGGTCTATGTTCTGACTTGATACAATGAACGATTTGATGCTAATTGCAAGTTGTTTGAGTCCAAATCTATGTTAAAGGGAACTCAAACAGAATGATAACGTAATGATTTTGCCGTGCATATCCTGATTTTGCATTCATTGCAACATCATGTGTTATTTGGTTATGTTTTTGTAATTGGAAGGCTCATTTTGGGTAAATTACAAGTTCTTTTTTGTTTATTATAAAACTGTTATTATTTTCTCGCAGGAGAACCGTTTGTTAATGGGGAGGTTGTTCCATATAATGACAAGTATCATATGGACTGGATCCAGGACAGAAATGTTGATAAATGTAAGAGCTTACCCAACTTAAAGAAATCCAGGAGAAAACGTAGAAAAAACCACGTCTAACTATAGGCATGCAGCTGGATTTAAACTTTTCCATCTTCCTGAAAGTGAAGAAGCAGTGCCATCCAATCCACAAGTTGTACTTTGCCGAGGCTATCATTTGGATGCATATCAGTGGCTGGTTTTCTTTGCCAAGCTTGGACTCAATTGGATTCAGGCTTAGAGAAATACTTGGTTGATGTGGAATCATATATAGTTATGTCAAAAATTTAAAGAGCAACTTGGTACTGCAACTACAACGGCATAGATAGTTACTTAACATGGTATTGGAGTTAAAGTCTTCTTATTACAATCAGCATTTGTTCATCTGTAATCTGTTCTGTCTGGGTTTGATACGTTTGCGGACAGTCCACATTTGATAGATGGAGAAGTTGTTATTACACAGGATTTGGCTACTTAGGAGACATCCCCCTTGGGAAAAAAAGTTGTAACATCAGCTGATAGAGCACAGGATTTGAGGGCCAGGAATTGTAAGAAAAATTTTGACAACTGATGAAAGGGAGGAGCATTCTCATTGATCTTCAGGATTTAGGATTTGTATATATCATGCTGACATGTTCTGTAGGTAAGCAAAATGTAGCAAATTGTGAATTTTCTTTGTTTCAATGTCTTAAACGTGTGTGATTTTGTTCAGACGCTTAAGAATCAATCAACTTCTTCCGACTCTTGCAAGGGAATCATCTTACCTCATTGATTCTGACCATGAGCTCATTTCAAACTCCTTTCACATGAACTACCTGCAGCAAAAAGTATGATGTTCCCGAACTGGATTGCCAAGTTTCTCAATAAAAAATATATACCTGATAACTCCAATGGTTAGGTTAATCTCCAAGATCTAGAACTGACTAAGTTTGTCCAATTAGGCAAGAAATAAGTCAAGACCAGTTTGTCTGCTTATCTTAGTATTTAGTTCTGCAAATGGTCAATCATGTTCTTTTATTCTGTTAAGATAAGATGAAAAAGAAAGAGGCACAAAATGTGGACCAAATGAATTTTACCCCTTAACTGAAACTATATAATAACCAAATACAGATGTATAAAGTATGCTTGGATCAAACTTCAAGGTGACAATCTTTGAAATTTAAAGAGTCTTGTTAGAGGTTACACCATATAACACTAGTGTTTACAATTTTAAACTTGTAAAAATACATATGCTGCCACCAAAAATCTTTCCACAGTTACATCATCTTCGGTTGACAATTTCATTGTTTATACAAATTTCTCCAGACTTTTGATCTTCATCATTGCTCACTTTTCCAGAATTTCTGAGGCCACACGTTTCAGGAAAATAGAATAAAGAAAATGAGCAAGGCCAGATATTTATAAAATAAGATACATGCATTTCAGCCTTGCCTACTAAATTATTTGTAAATTGTAACAGTCAGAGGCATGCTGAATTATAATAATCTAGCTTTCATTTCCCAGTTCTGACCAATGAAGAAGCAGAGTCCCTGTCTAGCTTTTTGTTTTACAACTTTTTCCTTATAATGATAAGATCTGGTTAGACTTTTTGAATGAATACAGCATTGTAACTTTCTGAGATGACTAATCATCAGTAGCTTTATATTAACCACTTTATGAGACTCATGGAAGAAGATTTCACACCTATGATTATCAATATGCTCAACAGCTGGTGATTCTCCAATCCTGAAAATTACACTAATAAAGTTCTTCAATGACTTGGTATGAAAAATTACTACCATATTAGACTGATAATGTTGATGCTTAATTTTGATACTAACAATTTGTAAGTGGGAAATGCTGAGCTGACTCAAGAGACACACATGAATGAGGGATTGAGATGAGTACAAGGTGGAGAAACAATATTTAAAGTGATTCGGATGCTTAAACAAGCGAATCTTACGTCTACTGATATTATATTTATATATGTAGGATCAGGTCGCATCTAGCGAGCTGATTTAGAGTATTTGAGAATACAAGTGAGAGAGAGAGAGAATGAGCTATTACAGAGTGAAATTCGCTAATCCTACAAACGGGAGGGGAACTCTCTATTTATAGTGGGATGAATTGGGGTAATGATTACTGGATCTGTAAAAAAAAAGATATCGTGCAAATCCTTCTTTGCATCCCGTTGTTCACCTGCTCGAGTGATTTTCTTGGTTTGTGCAGGGATTGGACACGTAGAAAGCCTCCAGCCTTTCGTCAGTCTGGCGCACACCCACTGCACTGGCAGAAGCATGTTGCTCACGCCAGCATGCGACGTGGTTGCGTCTGAACGGCTGCAAGACTTGCCTAAACTCTGACCGCTGATGCTGACAGGGCTTTATGTCAGCCCTACTTTGTCAGGCATAACAAATAACATTATTATTTTCATTATAGTTCATGTTTGATTTTTGAGGAAAATGATGTATGACGTGTTATTTTATGAATTTTTTTATTTTTTATTTTTAAATATTAAGAAGAACCATTTACAGAAAATGAAAACACGTTTAACTTGTAGAAAAAGTATTTTAATAAGTGTTGATGCGTGATTTAGGCACCAACCAATTGACACGTGCGCAACGTTGATTGGACAAGGAACGCATGTGAATACGGATTATGAATACGAAATAAATGCTATGAGAGTTTTTAAAGTGGTTCGAATGCTAAGGTAGCAAGTCCTACGTCCACTGATTTGTATTGATATTGATAGTGTGAGTCAGATCGCAACAGCAGACTGACTTACAAAAGATTTAGAAAAAAGTACAATGTGTTGTTTACAAGAAAGAGAACACAAATGTAAAATTGTCGAATCCCCTTAATGAAGGGGTCTTCCTCTTCTTATATCCAGTTGAATGTGCGCAATCATCACTAAATCCTTGGGTTGGTGTGATTGTCAGGACCTCATCTGATTTTACATCCCATTATCCATTTTCCAAACCGATTTCACGCGATTTGGAGCAGGTTAACGGACACGTGGGAGCACTAGGACATTTGGCAGGCCTGACGTGCGCTTACCGTTCTGACGGGAGCAGGCCACGTTTCATCACGCGACTCCACGTCAGCCTTTGATTTCTTAGTCATAACAATAAGAAATCATAAATCACAATTTTATTAGGCGGCGGTTGTGCGATTTATTGTTTTCAGTTGAATTATATTGTTTTTGACTTTAAAATCACATTTAATTGTTTTAGAATACTGTTTTTTTGGCATGAGTTGTTTAGAAAAGAAGTTTTAAATTCCAATTTCCTTTTCATTTATAGTAAAAATCATATTTTCATCGTTTCTTATTTAAAATTAGGATTTCCTTAACCATTTAAAAAGCTGTAAATGCTAAAACTTTTATTCAATGTTTATTCTGAATAAAAACTACTCAATATAGAGACCGACAAGGAATTCTCTTTCCTTATTTTTCACATTTCTACTTCAAAATCCAACCCTGCCAAATTTTTTGACTTAAACTCAAATGGGAAATTTAGGGTTCATGAATAGTTCCTTGTAGTTGCCTCAAGTTGCTGTAGATGGAGTAGGTGAAATGGTGGGAATACTCCAAGTCTTTGCTTATAGAAGTTTAAAATATCCAAGCTAGCTAGCCCCATAGAATTTGTTGCACAGCTTTTAAAGATTAGTAAAACCTGAGAGTCATCATCTCTTAGAGTTGTTGAAACTTTGAACATCCCACCCCAAGTTAGCCTGTTCTTAGAATGTTGACTTTGAACTTTCATTGAACAATTTTAGTTTTGAAATTCCACAAGATTTTAGGTAGAGTTGCACTTCTCAGCAAGGCCTCAGCATGAGTAAGATTTCCAGAAGATGATTAAGTTGGAATGTTTGTGCTCTTGAATATTAATGAACCACAAATTCAGAACACATTGGACTGTATTTTATACAACCTGAAGTCCACAATTTAGGCTGATTTAAAATTTTTTAATAACCCTTTTCTCCTTTTAACAATATAGAACAATTGTAAGATTACATCACTCAAACCAAAAAACAAAAGAACCAAAAAAAAAAAATCTATATGTCCCCTTGCCTTTAGGTTCTGGGGGAGTATAAGCTTGTTCCAAGAGCTTTATACAAAACAGTATCAGAATATACATCTCTAGACCTTGATGGCCTAATCCGTCGACGTTGACGGCGACCTTTTCGAAGCCGATGGCAGCCGATTTCTTCCCTTTTCTCATCCTTTTGTTCGTAGTTTCGGGCATTGTTGTGGACATAAGTAATGTTGCCATCATTTGAAACAGTGCAGACAAAGGATCCCATGCGGATGTCATTCAATTCCAAAAGAGGCTGCAAATTCTTGACCACAGTGCTCATTGTGGGTCTGGACCTGGGGTGATGGCTCAGGCATTGATAAGCCAATAGTGCAGCCTTCTTAACTCCCTCAGTTGAGTACTGACCCTCTAGTCTTGGATCTATTATTTGCTCCAGCCTGCGAAAGTCCTTCAACAATGGTCTTGCCCATTCCACAAGATCTTGTTCTCTTCTTGGGCGGTTCTTGTCAATAGATTTCCTGCCGGTTAATAGTTCCAACAGCACCACTCCGAAACTATACACATCACACATAGCTGTCAAGTGACCTGCCAAAAAAACTCATCGATGTTAGCAATCTTCCATGATTAACCCGATAGTGTCGCATTAAAAATCGCATTAAAATACTTAAAAGCGATTATTACCAGTCTTTATGTATTCGGGAGCTGCATAGCCCTCTGTGCCCATGACACATGTTGTAATGTGAGAAACATCACCCTGCGGACCGTCTGTTGCCAATCCAAAATCAGAGAGCTTGGAACTGTAATCCTGGAAAGAAAATTAAAACAATTGAAAACATAAACTCCAGCTCACTGAATATGATATCTTTTGAAAATACAAGAAAGGCTTGGAAGAGAAGTGCTTACTGTATCCAGTAAGATGTTTGAAGCTTTCAAATCTCTGTATATTACTGGCTTTTCTTCTTCATGGAGAAAAGCCAGACATTGTGCAGCTCCTAGAGCAATTTTTATTCTTGTTAACCAGGGCAATGTTGCAGCATAATCTGCATTATACAATTAAAAAAAAAAAAACGCTCATTAATTATAAAAAGAAATACATGTATTAAAATACAGATAAAGCAGCGAGTTCAAGAAAAAAAGCTTATTTACTTTTAAACAGTTTATCCTCCAAGTTTCCAAGTGGCATGTATTCATAAACCAGAAGCCTGTGATCATCCTCACAACAATATCCAATCAAATTCACCAGATGAGGATGCTTCAATTGTCCAAGAAAGATTACTTCAGCCTGGAAAATCAAATCCATTTCTCATTAAAATCACAATCTTCAATTGATAGTAATAAATATACTTCCAATGAACTTTATTTATACACTTATTATAATCTTACCAGCCATTCCCTATGCCCCTGCGAGCCATTCAAATCCAGGACTTTAACAGCAACAGGCTGAGCCTTCAAGCCAGGCCTTAGATTATCATCAATAAACCCTTTATAAACTTGTCCAAACCCTCCTTCTCCAAGAAACTCGCTCTTGGAAAAACTATTCGTCATCACTTCCAGCTCCTTGTGAGTAAAAATATGAAGATTTGATCCCACCAGAGAGCTCGACAAATCATTCAACGATATCTGAGAGCCAGTGTTACTCACATCAGAAAGTGACAATCTCCGCATAGACATTTGATTGGAATCATCCTGAACTCTCGGAACCGATGAAGAAGGATGTGGCTTCTTGGCCTTCACACAACCAGGCAGAAAATATTTCCAACTGACCCTTTTCAGAACAAGAGCCATAGTGTATTGATTAAGCTAAAGGTAATTCCTGAGGTTCTATATATATAAACCAACCCACCAATATTTATTTACTGAGGAGTTACAAATGTTAAAGAGATTCAAATGCGGAAGAATATCAAGAAAATGTTTTAAAATAATTATATATATAGAGAGAGAGAGAGAGAGATTTCTTGTCACGCCTCTACTGGCTTGAGAGCAAAAATGGAGAGGCCCCAGCTTGACTTTGAATTGGACAGCGGTTTCATATTGTAAAAAATGAGGTTTGTGGCCGAGTAGATTAAGTGTTTTGGCCTGTTTGTTTGGTCATATGCTAAAATGTTGAGCTTCTTGGCATTTTCATGGCTATAATCCAGTTGGGTTCCTCTATAACTTCATGTCATACCAATCAAATAGCAAGCTGAAAATAAATTTGAGAAGAGAGAATATTATTTATAAATATGTATAAATGAGTATGAAAATCAATAAATATATGATTTTCATGGCAATCTTTCTTCATGTTAAATGATTAAAATAAGGTTCTTGACTTTATTTGATTATGAGTAAAAAAAAAAAAATTTAGTGTGCTGGTCTTTGGGAGACTGCAGGGAAAAGGTTAGTTCATACATGGTGGCAATTTTTTATTATCCACAGTCCACACGCCTTCTTTCTATTTTTTTTTTTTTCTTTTTTACAATATCATGATGTAAATTTTACTATTAATAATCCTTGAATATATTATATATTATTAAGTCGACATGAAATTTTATCAATTAAATTAGTGAGTACCCATAAAAGAAAATTATGGTTGTTGCTGATAGAGATGGTCATTGAAACTCTTAATATAGTTTCAAAGTCTCAGAAGATTAATTGAGGTACGCACAAACTGACTAGACCACCTCCAGTCATTAAAAACAAAAAAGTTCTGAAATTTCAAAAATGTCTTTATCCTTTTTTTATATATTTGATTTGATTTCATAAGCTCTTCTATTTTCTTTTATAAAAGCTATATTTCCATAAGCTCTTCTTCTATAAGCTCTACTCGAATAAACCGTACCAAGCGTACACTTAATCAGTTTCCACAATAGAATTTTATCTTTGTTTCGTACAAAAGTTTTATAATTCAGAATTAGTTAGTAACCACAAAAGAATTTTACAGTGACAGAATGATGAGAGGAAAGAAAAAGAGGCCTATAAAAACTGTCGTATTATCAATGACAAAAGTTCTTGGAAAGAAATGAGAAAGAAGAAATTACTGTCTATAGCATCAGCCATCCCATTAAATTCAATAACTTAACAAGAAGGCAACAACAAAATTTAGTAAGTCAAAGTCTTGACAAGGTGAGCCGTAGCTGAAATTATGAAGTTCATTAAACAATTAAACCTTTGATGGGTCGGCTCCTTTATATCCCTTTCAGCATAATGCATGCATCTCTTATTCTTGAACTCATTTTTAATCAATCAACACTTAATTAGGTAACTCATTTTGATTAAACATTTGATTAGGTAAACAAGACTTTTCTTTCTTAATTATCTCATTCTTTGACAATAAATAAATAAATTAATTAATTAATTAATTAATTAAATTAAACTTCTAGTGTATATATATATATATACACACCCTCGTTCTTGTAAAATTATATGTTTTTTTTTTAACACATAAAAGATTTAAAAACATGTGATTTATATGTAGGGTTTCTTTTATAGATCCTTATGAGATTGATTAATATTAAATATATTTAAAATTATTAATAGTCCCTCGGAATTATTGAACTTAAGTTTGTAAAAATCCACGTACCAATATAAAAAACATGATACTTGATACTTTCTAATAATTATAAGTAAGTTTAGTATAAATATCATAATTTTATAAGGATTTGTATATATGATACCCTTGTTCCTATAAAATTATATGATTTTTTTTTTTTTTTAACATATAAAAGATTTTAAAACATGTGATTTATATATTGGGTTTCTTTTATATACCCTTATTAGATTGATTAATATTAAACATATTTAAAATTATTAAAAGCCCTTTGGAATTATTGAAAACCCCTCTTAAGCTTATAAAATTCCACGTAACAATATAAAAAACATGATACTTGATACTTTCTAATGATTATAAGTAAGTTTAATATAAATATCATAATTTTATAAGGATTTATATATATGATACCCTTGTTCCTGTAAAATTATATGATTTTTTTTATTTTTTAACATATAAAAGATTTTAAAACATGTGATTTATATATAGGGTTTCTTTTATATACCCTTATTAGATTGATTAATATTAAGCATATCTAAAATTATTAAAAGCCCCTCGGAATGATTGAAAACCCCTTTTAGTTTATAAAATCCACATAACAATATAAAAAACACGATACTTGATACTTTCTAATAATTATAAGTAAGTTTATTATAAATATCATAATTTTATAAGGATTTATATATATGATACCCTTGTTCCTGTAAAATTATATGATTTTTTTTTTTTTTTTAACATATAAAAGATTTTAAAACATGTGATTTATATATAGGGTTTCTTTTATATACTCTTATTAGATTGATTGATATTAAACATATCTAAAATTATTAAAAGCCCGAATTATTGAAAACCCCTTTTAAGTTTATAAAAATCCATGTAACAATATAAAAAACACGATAGTTTATACTTTCTAACAATTATAAGTAAGTTTATTATAAATATCATAATTTTATAAGGATTTATATGTATGATACCCTTGTTCCTGTAAAATTATATGATTTTTTTTTCTTAACATATAAAATATTTAAAAACATGTGATTTATATGTAGGGTTTATTTTATATACCCATATCAGATTAATTAATATTAAATAAATATAAAATTATTAAAAGCCCATCAAAATTATTGAAAATTCTTAAGCTTATAAAAGTCCCTATAACAATATGAAAAATGTGATAGTTATGAGTAAGTTTAATACAAATCAATCTCACAACGGTATATGAAATAAATTCTTTTCTAATATATGTAATTGGGTACTCATACTTTATCTACTTATATCAATCACATTTTATATTAAACACGAGGAGTAAATAATACAAGTGAATTGAATGGTTCTAAAGAAAAATCAAATATTATACAAAAATGAAAGCAATAAATTAATAATTACTTGGGGAGTCGCGAGGGTGGGTTGTTGTGGGATAGTTTTTCTTGAGTATTAGTCGAGATGTGTGTAACTGATCCGGAGTTCGGACATTTCAATTAACAAAAATAAAATAACATAAATAAATAATTATCAAAAATAAATTTCTCGTTTTAGTTTCCAAAAGGTAGACACCAGAGTCGTTGGGGAGTCTAAGTCCCTTAGGAAAAAAGTTACAATGGCTAAATTGTCAAAACAATATGCTCAAAATTCCAAATTAATGATCTTTCTTGACGGTTCTATTTAAGCAAAGAAAAATTTAAAAAAAAAAATAAATTATAATCAAAGTCATTGGACCACATCACTAATGCCTTTCAAAATTATTCCAATCAAAGTCTTTCTTTGGATGTGACTTTTGGGTGTCAAAGTTGTCTATCTTTGGTGCCTCCATGACAACCCCTTAATGTTTCATACCTTACCTCATCAAATACAGAAAATTTCCTCATCACATTACCAATTCTAAAAAATAAACTTAAAATTTTCTATATTTATATCATACAATTTATTTTATTAATGATCTAAAAAATCCTAAACTAATTCATAACAAGTCCCCCACCCATTCTATAATTTTTTAGGAATAAACAATAATCTTTAGTCATGTAAGTGTATTTAACGTGAGATTTGAACTCAAAGCTTGAATTTTAAGGATATGATATCTTGAATTTATTTCTTAACATAAAATTTATATGATCAAATGATTTCATCACAGTGCAACGATGTATAAGATGTCAGTACTTAGAAATATAAAGTATGGATAAAGATGAAAAAAACGCAGCTCATCAACTTTGATAATTTCTTTGATTAATTCTTGGTCTTTTGTCACAAGGTTGAACTTGAATGGAGATTAATGGAGATGAAAAGCAGCTACAGAAAACCCACTGAGCCCCAAAATTAATTTGAAAGAATTATTATGATGGGTTTTTGAAAATATGAAGATTAAAGATGAAGACAAAGATTAATTGGGGTGATAAAATTAATAATGGTTAGAGATTTGATTGTCCATTTCAATTTATATTTAGGGCCTTTGGTTAGAGGTAATAGAGATATTGGGGTTATGTCATATTATATTACTTGATTATCATGTGATTCAGTAATCTTGCATACCAATAGTTGTTACTGTTGGTAATATGAAGGTAATTTGATTATCTCAATTTTCTTAATATTGTAAAATTATCAAGGTAATTATTTTTGTTATAATTCTATCTTTATTAATAAACATTTTGGACAATAATGCCCTTATTTTAAAATAAGTTTACATTAATATACCATTTCAATTTTACCTTTGTTTAATTAAATTTTTGGACAATAATGCCTATATTTAAACAAAATTACAAACCACCACTGTCACCCAGCCACCACTGTCGATAGTGGGCCAACACCACAGATTGTCGTCGGAAAGTCATCGGAGTCCCTAAAAAAGATCGAGATTCAATGGGAGGCTCCGGGAGGCTTCAATATCGTCGTTTCCAATCTGGCCATATCGGAGCCTCGTGGTCACGGTAAGCCTACTCTCACGCGACCTTTTGCGAGACTTCCGGCGATGGTTTACGGTGGCGGCAGGAGGCGACAAGTGTGGGGGTGATTTTGTCATAAATTAAAGTTTTATATAAGCAGGGGTGTTTTAGCTAAATCTGAAATATTGGGGGTTAAAAGAAATTATTCAAAAATTAATAATAAAAATAATATTATATTAATATTTAAAAGGGGATAATTTAGTAATTTAAATAACATACCCACCAATTTATTCCCCCTAACCAAACATATTAATATAACATACCCACCACCTAACCAAACACATTTTCCTAAAGATTCCCAATAATCTTCAAGGTAATATAAGATTTCAGTAATCTAATATTCCCTGAACCAAACGCCCCCTCAAAAGTAAATACAAGCAGGACCAATTTGGCCAAAAGAGCAAATGGGCAAGCAT